AAGTAGAGGAAAGTTCTAATTTTTTTGCAACTTGCAAACCAACATTTTGCAACATTGCAGGTTTCCAAAATGGGGTGATTCTATTAAGGCTCAGGGAGCCCTAATAAAGTAGGTATGTACTGTATGTATGTATGTATGTATGTAAGGTGGCCTTCATCATAAATTATAAGCCTAATACTGTATCCTGTATGAATAAGCAACTTCCTCTATTCTAAAGTGCCCAAATTTGGGGAAATGGTGCCTGCATTTACTTTGGCAACGCCAACACCTGGCCAACGTTTTCGTCCTGACCCTTTCCTCCTCCTTGTCACACCACTCTATCCCATCCACCAGCAGATGTGGTACCACATGATGGCACTCATCTTCCCTGATTATTTGTTTAGATTTCGGTAGCTTTATCCACGAGGACACCAACATTAAGAGTTTAGACGATGGTGCCTCGCCTGGTTGCCCTCCTCCCAATCTTCCAGGGGAAGATGTCCTTTATCTGCCTCTTTATATCCTGGTTTGCAGTTTCGTTGAGTCGGCCAAAGAATGTGCTCACGCCTTCTAATACGGGGTTTCCTTTAAGCTTATGCCTTGTTCTCAATCCTGCCTGACAGGCAAAGGTATACCGTAAAAACTCGTGTATAAGCCGCACTGGTGTATAAGCCGCACCCCCAACTTTCAAGCATGATTTTGAAAAAAAAAAAAACCAAAAAGGCGCTTTTGTAAAAAAGGTGATAATTTGTTCGCGCATCAAAATGTTCACAAATAAACTTGAGGAAATTTAATGTTGTGTATTTGCAGTGACATTTTAAATAAGTTAATCAACTCCGAAAATACCTTTTAAAAGGTTCTCTTTAATCAATTTCCCCATTTCCTGCGAAAGACAACAGTTCTCTTCATTGCTAAAGCCCACAGTTGAAATGAAAATGGAACGATGGAACGAAAATAAAGCGCTGGAGAATGCTACAAAACGTTTGCTTAGTAACCACGCGTTTATTTGATGAGGGAAGTCTGGACACCAGAGAAGGAGACAAGTAAACAAATGCTGGACTTGTGAAGACTGTATTTTGCAAAACTGAATAATATATTTACAAGTAACAGGTACAGATATCTTCATATTAGAAAACGAAATTCCTTGTTTAAGCAAAAAACTATTTACATTGTACAATGTTTGAAAGTACGGCTCATCAATCTTTGTTCAAAGTGAAATCTTGTACAACACTGTTCGGTATCATTTTCACGAGAAAAGCAAAAACTATTTACATGATCATTAATATACTGTTAAAGTTCATTCTATCGACCAGTGTTCAATGTTCAACAACTGTAGTAGTTGCTTAGAAACCATAAAATTCCTTGCCATCGCTTTCACCAAAAATGTTCTCAAAGCATTCAGGGTCAATTTCTGCAAGTTGTCGTTCAAAGTGATCAGCATAATACAGTTGGTCGTCACCATCTACTTCATCAAGATCTTCAAATGGATCTGAGTCTGACTCCTCTTCCCAGATTTCTTTGTCTTCTGTGCCATCCAATGCGTTGGTGATACAGCATTTGTGAAACGACTTGGCGATCATCTCTGGTGGTATGTCGTCCCAGGCGTCACTGATCGATCTGCAGATCTCATCAAGCCCGACCTTGTGAATGCGACCCCCGGCAGTAAAGCTGTGCTGTCCAGCCAACATCCAGTCTTGCCACTTTGCCCGCATGTGGTCCTTGAAGGGCTTGTTAATGGACACATCCAAAGGCTGAAGCATGCTGGTCATGCCACCAGGAATCACAATGCACTTTGTATTGATGGACCTCAAGGTACTGCGAACTGGTTTGGATAAGTGGGCTCTGAATGAATCCCAGACAAGCATCGACTTTCGCCGGCTGAGGCCACCAACTTTGCTCCAAACGGTCCCTAACCAGTCCTGCACAAGCAGTTCGTCCATCCAGCCCTTTGCCTGGCACCTGACAACAACTTCTTTCAGAAAGTTCAAGTTCTTTGGAAGTGTTTTCCATTTAAACACAACATATGGTGGCAGTTTGGTACCATCGCCAAGGCAGGCAAGCATCACAGTAAACCTGTCCTTGTCGTGACCTGTGCTCACGATAGGGACGCTCTTGACCAGTCTGTCTGATACTGTACTGTTCGTTACAATGTCAAACATAAGCGGAGTCTGATCGGCATTATCAATGTATTTAAGGTCAAAGTCATGTTCCTTCCGTTTAGCTAACACGTAACGCTGAAACTTGATTAACTTTTCCTCATTGTCTTGTGGAAGTTTTTGAGCAATTGTCATTCGCCTTCTGATGGAGAAGCCAAATCGATCCATGAAGCGGTAGCACCAGTATTTAGAGGCCTTAAATTGTTCGGACAATCCCAGCTTTTGCGCGACTGATTTCGCTTTAACCCTTTCACTGCCACAGTTCTGACAAAGACTGTTTTCTGACTGCCAGGTTTTTTTTACTAGTAACCTCAAAAAATCACTCTCAATCTTTAATGGCTTATATCTCAGTCAGTTTTTAAGATATTAAAATGAAATTTTCAGGATAGTATCTGGAATAAACAAATATTTTTTCTACATTGTCAGGGGGGTGATCGGGTCATTTGACCTGACTTTCATTGCAAGGCATTATGGGTTTCTTAAAAATAACTATTTTACATTAAATTTCCCTTTTATTTCTCTTTGTATTTTTTACCTAAAACACTGAAAGGACTTAACTCAGCTGAACAATCTCTTCAACATAACTTTACAAAGTTACATTCAAGCATAAAGGCTAATATTCTTCCTAAAAAGTGATTTTTAGCAACAAGTTTGCTGTTGCACCACTAACAAATAATGACAGTGAATTTTATAAAGACAAAGAAACAAATATGTCTTAATATATTCTCCATCATAACAAACATGAGGGTTTATGTGTCATATCACACAGTGTGTTGTGTACAAGTGATACTGAGCAGTACCATAGTGTAATGTTTACAAGTTATACTGACGCAAAGTGTGATAACGTTCAAAACAAGGAACAATGCATAATGCTATATCACACTGCTTGCAATAAAAAGAAGTTTGCACTCTTTTCTTATTTTTCCTGTCAGAGCAAACCCGACAATCAAGTTTTTGCTTGGGGTTCTCATTTTTTCCTAGGAAATGGCGTCCAGTAAGTCTTAGAGGGTCTGGGGTATCTGAGGGCCTCCCATTTTGAGGCTGAGGCGGGTTCCAATCCCTCAAAAGCCCAGTTATTACTTGCTCTCTAAACTTTTTAGGGTTAACTCTTTTAGCGGAGTTTGCCTTCTTGTAAAGAATAAACCCATTTACGAGGGCAATTTCCCTGGCCCTATGGAAAAGGGTATGATACCATTTGACACACTTGTGAGGAAATTGGTATGTGCCTAGCATTTGGTCAAGGGTGTCGACCCCACCCATGTTTGAATTGTATCGATCAGCGATTACTGGCTTTTCAACTTCCCTATAACCCCCTTCCCCATTCTTACTTCTAACAGCCTTGTCTACTGTCAAATTATTCTCAACAGTACTCAAAAAGGTAACACGTTTTGTGTCTTGCCATGCACAGGCAACAAGATTATCTGAACACATAAAAACAGGCGGTTCTCCCTTTTTTAGAGACAATCTTGATGGCAAGAGCTCTTTTGGCATTTGTTTCCGATTTACTTTCACAGTTCCACAGGCAACAATGTTCTCTTGCTCCAATTTCTTGAATAGATATGGAGCAGAATAATAATTGTCCATGTAAACAATGTGGCCCTTGTCCTCGTATCCTTGCACTAATGACAAAACAACCTGTTCCGAAAGGCTGACCCCTTTATATCGAGGAAATGATGCTTTGCCAGTGTAGACAATGGACCTCAGGCAATAGCCAGTTTTTGCCTCAGCAAGCACAAACTGCTTGATCCCCCACCTTGTGGGCTTGGCTGGAAGGTACTGCCGAAAAAATAGTCTCCCCTTGAATTTGACCATACTTTCATCCAAGGAAAGGTCACGTGCTGGCTGATACCACTTTTCATAAGTTGGGTTGACTATGTCCAACAAAGGTTGAATCTTGAATAAAGGATTGTAACCTTCTTCACCCCTGGCAATTTGGTTTTTAATATTGTTAAAATGCAGAAATGCTTGTAACAGTTCAAACCTGTTGCGTGACATCACAGATGAAAATGGCAGGGCTGTCAACCAAAATCCACTCCAATAATCAGCATGGGCTGGTTTCTGGCAAAGCCCCATTGCAATTTGCAAAGCGAAAAAGGCTTTTATTTCATTAGGAGATGTGTCTTTCCAGGCTCGAAAACGAGAACAAGGCTCAAAATCAGCAGGCGTATCTAAATACTGTTGTGCATACCTGTTTGTCTCCCTTGAAATCAGTTCAAAAGCTTCATGTGGGAAGAAGAGATTAAAAAAGTCGACTGGGACATAATTAGATGCATCAACAAGTATTACCGGCCGTTTGTCAAAATTTTGAAGCCATGTGGACTCGAATGGATCAATATCCTCGTAAAATTCCCACTCTATTTCTCGCTCACGAGCGACACCACGTCTAGCTCCTTGTGCTCGCTGCAAATTTTCCTCGTCGGCTGACATGTCTGTGTCGAAATCATCAATGCTATTCTCCATTTCACCTTCGGAAGCCGATTCCATGTTGATTTCAGTGTCACTGGCACTTTCGCTTTCTGAACCACTTGCTTCTTCTTCCATTTCAGAGTCACTGTCGCCAAAAATAGTATCCAAAGCCTCTTCAACAGTAAACCTTCGATTAGACGCCATATTCCAAAGTTGTAAACAAATAAAAAATATGGATTTCTCGAGTCAAATATGAGCTAAATTTGCTTCGTTTCGAGTCGAAAATGAAACCAGCACGTGTTTTGATTAACCTGATCTAAGAAGCTATTTCATTGGTTAGTTAGAACAGGGACTATGACTCGTTCATTTTAATGCTATTGTTTGGGCGACTAAAGTCGCCCATGGCGGTCTATAGGTAAGGCGACTAAAGTCGCCCATGGCAGTGAAAGGGTTAAAGCAAATAATGTTTGTGGACACGCCAGTACCAGCTTTGCGCTTCTCGGTGATCCACTCAGCAACTTCCTTCTCGAGCTCCAGAAATGCAGCAGAGCGACCTCATTGAGCACGCTTGTTGCCGGGTGTTCTAAGCAGCTTTTCTCACTGCGATTGCCAGCGACGCACACAGCTTTCATCAACATTAAACTGCTCTCCAGCAGCACGGTTTCCTTTGTCAACAGGATAAGCTACAACTCTGAGTTTAAAAGACGCAGTATATGATGCTCTGGGAGAACCCCTCTCTGCCATGATGCTACTTAAGCTTAATTGACAGAATGAAAGCATGTGTCACATTTATTTAAACTCACGTGCTGATTGCGCGGATCGAACATAGCAAAAGATGATTGGTTTAAACAAGACAATAAGGAGACAATAGGCTAAGGCATGCACAAGTTACAGATGGATTGACAACTGTGTTTTCTTAGCTCAAGTTTTTGCCATATTTAACAATTATGGAACAAATTTGCAAATAAAATAAAAATGGGTTAGGATCCACACTATATGTGATATTGTATAACCTGAGAATATTGTCAAATAATGAACATACACTTCTCTAGGAATCAATTTTCGCGCAAAAAAACAGGACCATGTAAAAGCCTGAAACATTCGGCTTAGTTAGGTAACTTAGCAACGCTTTACAGATGCACTCTTCTTTGATTGGCTAAAAAACATTATAGAAAGCCTGGGCCGAATCACACAGTAGACCGCGATCAGTAAACAACATGGAAACGTTCGCTTTCGCATCAGCTGTGCGTGGATATCATGTTTATAAAGACGTATGGAAACCATCGATCGGGGAAAAGCTTGTTGCTAAACGAGAGTTTAACAACCCAATGGACAAACACGCCATGAAAGTAGTGAATGACGACGAAACGCTCGGCCATTTGCCTCGCGAATTCTCTCAAATAGCATGGTATTTTCTTGCACGTTGTGGGGAAATCGGCATTGAAGTGATCGGTTGCAGATGACACTGTAAGCAGCTGTGCGGAGGAATGGAGATTCCGTGGCGGTTAGAGTTTAACTGCTCAAACAAAGTGCAGATGAAACGCTTAAAAGAACTACTGGCGAGTAAGATTCAGGTATAGAACCTGAAGATGCAAACAAACGGCTCCTTTAGGAGCCACCACTTCTACTGAAAGCAATGATCAACGACAGGTTTCAATATGTTTAATCTTTATTTACTGAAGGTTTTCAGTTCAATTTGTGACCCCTACAAGCCAGTTTACTCCCTTTGAGAGCAATGGTCTCGTGTATAAGCCGCACCTGCAATTTTGGACTCAAAATTTCGGCAAAAAGGTGCGGCTTATACACGAGTTTTTACGGTAAATTGCCACATCTAGCAATTTCATCAGCTCTTCTGGAAGGCACTTTTTCGAACCTGTTGTCCCAGATGAAGATGTGGAACACAATGCCATTGTGGATTTCAACAAGGGAATGTTATTATCAATCATTGTTAATTTTCAATATTCACACCTCAAAGAGCTTGTTTTCTGATTGGTGCAGGAATAAGGGTGCTTTGTTACCATCATTGATTGTCTCCATCCAAATATGGAAGTCAATGAAAAGGCTGGAAATAGGAAATAAATTATGAGGTCACAAGTTTTTCCCTGGGTCAGATAATCTGTATAAATGTCAATCATTGTCAGTGGCCAGTTGTCAATATACGATTGAAGATGCCTTCTTCCAACCCCTGTCACTCCTGCATCCTCTGTACGATATTGCCGTGTGGCAATTCATTTTGATGAGCAGCTACAAGGCAATTTCAGGGAGGGAATCACCCTGTAACACGCACACGAAGTTCACATGGAAAATGCACAAGGTCGTGGCAAATTTTTTATGTAAACCGTTAGAGGTACTTGCCTTTGACCATTTGCAATCACAGCTGCTTGGCAAAGAAGTAAAACTGGTGACTGGAAACTGGGAAGTTGGGCAAATAGCAACAACCAGTGTAGGGATCCCCATCCCCCTGGGAACAATGCAGCTTACTCCGAAAACAAGCTGTTTACCATACCATGGTTCGATAACATCCCATAATCATAATAATCACATCCCATAATCATAATAATCACACCCCATAATCATAGTAATCACATCCCATTTAATATAATTTATTTGTGAGAAAAGTTTGGTCAAACTGTTGTTACAAGGGTCAACCAGCTTGCAAACATCAGAGTCCGCATTGCTAAGTATTGCTGTCATTTGTATTTCAATCACTGTTGTAAAGAAAACTATGTGCTTCCATTGAGTTTGAGATTTTGGCCTCCTTTACGGAGTGCTTAAGGGGGGATTCTACCTAAAAAAAGTGCATTTTTTCAAATAATTGTAGGAATTTAAGTTTTGGTCACAACTATCTAAAACTATATATCACTGGAAAGCTTATGAACTATATTTTTCAAAAAAAGGTGTTATGTCACACCTGCAGCAAATGTAACCTGACACCGGTCATTTCAATTAACAACTTGTAGTGTCTCACCTATATGTACTTGAGTAAAGATTGTTAGAAACTGTTTCAATGAAATACCAATATTTTGCTGTTATTCTAAAGAATATTGAATACTTGTTGGGATGAGTGAAGGATTTCAAGAATTTTTAAATTTGACATCACAGCACTGGTGTCAAGTTACACATCTAACACATGATCACTATTTGTTTAATCATTTCTTTAGAAAGACCTCTATGGCATTTTCCTTCACTCATCCCAAATAACTCAATTAGATCAGCAATCCCTAAAAATTTCAGGTCCATAGCTCTCATACTTCTTGAGTAATCTTTTCTCAAGTATTAAAAATACGTTTTGAGAAAAAAAGGCCTAAAGTTACAAGATTTTAAAATTAAACACCTCCTGTATTCAAATTATGAAGTCAATGAGTAGCCATAAGTTCAAATATAATTAGGATAGGCAAGAGCAAGAGTTAGAATGCCCCAGCTTCATATGAAACATCTTCTTTTTTTCACGAAGAGCCGCTTCTCTTTGAGTACGGATAAGCTGCAATCCCTGCCGGCGCTTCTTCTCCTTGGCCGTTGCCTGCTTATCAGCTTTCCAAGCCTTGAATTATCTCTTAGTCGAAATGCATCCTCAGTAAATGCACCTCCAGGAATTGAAAGCCTTTCCATCAATCTTTCTCTGCTTTCTGCACCTCTGTGGAAGTGGCAGACTGCAGACGCAGCAGCACACCGGACAACTTTCACTCCATGGTGTTTATGTTTGGGACACGGACCCAAACCATTGCGTTGATGCTTTCATTTGGGTTCTGGGTTTTTCTCGTACACATCTTTCTAAAAGTTTACTGTCACTTAATGACACAAATGTGGGTTTTAGAGTCTCCACGAAGACTTCGGGCAAACAGTCATCTCCTTTGTAGGTACTGGTTCCTGTTGCCTGGTCCTGTTGCCATTTGCACCATGATGAATCACCTGGTGGACAGAAGCGGTGTTGTTTAGCATTGTCAGTTGAATTTACACAGTGATGGAGAATGGCAATAATATTTTTTCATAGCATAAACTGCAATGTCAACCTCCCGTTCAGAGGGGATTTGCCTTGGTCAAGGTGTTTTGCGGGATTGCTAGGCCATAGTACCTTTGAAGCTGCTTGATCTTTCCTTCTGTAAGCCGCCACGCCCTCCTATAGGTTTTCCATCAGCAAGTTTACCCTTACTGCATGCCTTCAAATTCATTAAATGTTTGCCCATCCTTTTCTGCACATGGCCTACACAATCCAGTTTAATAACTTCACAGTCATCATAGGCATGTTGAACAGTGTTAAAGGCCTTACTGTCCCCGTCTGACACCATCCATTTGTACCTCATGTTATGAAGTTCGATGGATCTATTCCAAAGAACAGAAGCTCCTTCTGCTTCCATAGCAGGTGAACTTCCTTCGAAGTTGATGTCACAATCTCCAGATGCAACATGCTCCCTCCTCCATTCTTCAAACTCTTCCACATTCCCTTCACATTGTGAGTTCTTTAGGGAGCACTTACGGCAAGATTTAGACATCACGTGATAGTCTAAAACTTCTCCTGTGTCAATTGAGATGACGAAAACAACACCTGTTAGTGATGTGAAACCTCTTTTTTGGCCCAAGTGCCATCAAAGCTAACAGCAGCATCAATTATTGTGGTGCTGTCTGAGATGCCATTTTCCTCCATGATTAGCTTTTGGAGCCTTTGGCCTGCACCTTTTAGTTCTTCTTTTGCTTCACTTTCCAGTGCTTCCAAAATTACATCAACTTGCTTGTAGTAAGCAGCTCTTGACAAACAAGGCATGTTCATTATCGCACAGAAAGAAGAGAGTCCGTCGTAGCCACTTCCAGTTTCTATTGAGTGGTAGACAGCTCTCCGGTTGACATCAAATGATTTGCCTTTCTTGGCAAGGTTGGGTGATGTCTGCCAAGGAGTACTTTCATCACAAGAATTGCAGTGAATGGAGAGATCTGACATCAGTCCATAACGGCTAGCGGTATTTTCTTCAATAGTAAGGTCTCCTATATTAAAAACATGACGGAAAAGGATGCTATTAGCTATAGTTACTGAACCAAACAGAACCACAATGTTGGAGCATTAGTTCACACCTCCATAAATGTGTACAAGTGTTGCAGTGAAGAAAGATCAGAAAAAAAATTAAAACAATAATAAAACTCCTTTTCTGCAAATAATTCTAACTATCGTTTTTCTTTAGGTTCAAGGGGCTGAAAAGCATATTTATGATGTGTGATATTTTTCTCACCTTCTTCGCATTTGTGTAAAGTTGAGAGCACAGAAGAGAAGCTTTTAGATCAACGAGCCTGTATCCTTTTTCTACCTCAGCTACCTCGAAAACTTTTTTGTTTTCATCAGAACTTGAAGAAGACTCATCTTCTGAGCTCTGGAATCTCATCTTCTTCCTTGAAGAACTAGGAAGCTGATCGCTTTCTTCGCCAAAATCTGACAGATCAGACTGATCGTGCGAAGTTCCTGGGGTCGGTTCGTTTGGTTCACTCTTCCTGTTGCAACCGCTTTTCTTCAGTAATTGCGCTTTTTACGATCTCCTCCATGCCCCTTTCTTTTCCTAGTTTTCCTGTAAACGGTTCTTTTCTTCTTTCCAGTCATTCCAGCACAAAAGAGACAAAAAGGAGTTCAATATTTCGCAATACACTGTGACAACTTTCACACAAAAATCTCTCACTCGTCTCCAGTGTTACTCTTTCAATTTCTTATTTTCCCCTTCATGTAAGACAGCACAAGGATTCTAAGGGGCGTTTCGGGCTTGTTTGACATATTTTGAGCTCCAAACAGGCTGGTAAACAAGTAAGAAACAAAAATGCTGTTTTGGTTGCCATGGAAACGAGATTTCTATTTAGATACCTCTTCTTTTCTAACGTAATTTCTCATTTATATTTTAAAATTTTTCGGTAAAAACGATCGTCAGTGTAAAGTCGAATAGTTGAACCTCGCATTTCTGAAGAAAACAAAAAAACAATATTTTGAGCTAATTTCAGGTAGAATCCCCCCTTAAGGATACAAGCTCATGGTCAGTACTGATTTTTCTTTTCTCAAGCTACGAATAGATGAATGTCACAGTTCCATACTGCGTTTGTGAGCGTTATTCTCTCATTCACTCAGTGAACTCTCTGCTTTGCTAAACAACTCTGAAACCTCCTGGGTAAGGATGTTTCCAATGCGCTTATGGCTCTCAAAAAAGATCCAGACAGGCTCGTATTATCTGCTGACAAGGGTAATTGTGTTTTGTTTATGGACAAACAGCAATATCACGACAAAGCTTTGTCTCTGCTTAACGACAAAAGTACGTATGCTGTCTTAAACTCTGATCTTACCAGTAAAACTCAAAGAAAGTTCAACAAAATTTGGCTTGATTTGAAAAAAGCTGGTGAAATTAGTGTCTCTGTACAAAATGTTATACTGTAGAGACGGCTTATGTCCGTGTTTTTATGGCTTACCTAAAATTCATAAACAAGAATTCCTTTGAGACCCATTGTCTCTTTTGTTAATTCTCCGGCTTATGCAATTTCTGGTAATCTTGCAAGAATTTTGTCGCCTGTTGTTGGGAATACTGATTACACTCAAAAATTCCTGTGAATTTGCGGATTTCATAAGAGATAAAACTCTTAACGCTTGTGAAGAATTAGTATTTTTCAACGTTGTTTTGCTCTTCACTAAAATCCTAGTTGATCTTGCCATTAAGGTGGTGGAGGAGAGACTCAGAGAAGATGCTTCCCTAGGACAAAGAACTTCTTTACCTGTGGAGGATATTATTCGTCTGCTGTCTTTTTGCCTCAAAACCACACAATTTACATATAATGGCACCTACTATCAACAAGTTTTTGGTACAGCGATGGGTTCGCCTGTCTCTGCAGTCATTGCTAATATGGTAATGTAGGATGTGGAACAAAGGGCCTTAGCCACTTCACCAGTTAAACCCTTTTTCTGAAAATGATATGTCGATGATGTTATTTCTGGGGTATCTGGAAATGAAGCAGAGCACCTCCTGTTGCATTTGAATTCAGTAAAGCCGTTGATCTAATTCACACTCAAGGGTGAAAAGGATAAACATTTGTCCCTTCTTGATTTACTTTTAACAGAATACTTGATTATTCACTTCTTACATTAATTAAAAAATGAATTTTGCTTTAAATCGAAGATAAAAAAGCTTTACTAGCCTCAAACAATAGGCCAAGATTTTTGCACATAACCAATATAACATCTTGCCCATTTTAAAATGATAAATAATGATAAATTACATCTATGTAAAACTTTATTTAATCTATAGAATGAAACAATGTTCTGTTTTATTTGGTCATCTCATGAATTTAATGATACACTGCACAAAAAAAAGAAAAGCAAAAAGAATTTTTTACTTGTGTACATGTAAGTTTGAACATAGGTTTTTTTCATTCACATGTAACATGCCATCTCCCTGCTCTTTTTATGCTACTATCATCTGTTCTACAATGAGCAGCCCATTGAGCTGCTGATCGTCTGTACATATCATACCTCAAGAAAGGTTTTCCTGTAGGTGGTGACCCCAAGGGCACAGTTTTGTAGGACAGCGTGGTTAATTTTCCCAACCCTTGGAGAAAGGTAACCCCCACAAATATCTTCAGTCAAATATGAAAATAATATGATCACTTTTTGCTAGACAAGTTAATTTTGAAAGATACCAAATCTATCCCACAAGGGAAAAAAATGCAATTTGCAAAGTGAGTGAATAACTAAATTAAAGTGTAAGGAATATCTAGCCAAGGGTCAAAACCCTCTATCAATGGGGGTCACTTGATGAGTTTATGAAATTGGATGCCTTTTCTACAAATGGATGGCAATTAATGCAACTTGAATAGGAGGGTCACATACAAAAGATCAACTTAGCAGGTACTCAAAAATCTGAAGGTGATTAAAAGTATTGTTTAAACTAGTTTGCCTTTGCGACATGAACTTTTCTTATGTAAATACCACTTTAGGGCAGTATAAGTATTAAAGGGGAGTTGTCCCCCAAATGCACCATTGCATGGTAAAAGCTCAACATTGCAAGTGAATAGTGGAATTATGGAGCCCAAGGGAAACTGCGGGCAAAGTTGGCGGCAGGATACCTAACCCTTTCTTGCAGCCCAGCTGCTATAGTTGAAAAAAAAAACAAAAAAGCAATTGGTTGTAAAATCGAGCCAGCTGCACGAGCTATAAGTAACCACCCCGGGAATTTGAAAATGTGGTCATAACTATAAATGGTTGCTTGCAAGAATGGAAAGCTAAAAACAAAGGAGAGCTTTGACTTTGTGAAAATGCTGTAGTTCAATATTATTTCTTGATTCATTTTTGATTCATCATTGCTCTCTCAAAGGCTGATAAATGTCAAACAAAGAAAAATAAAAATACAACCAAGGATAATGTTGAACTACAACACAAAATTCAAATAAATTCTTTACAAACGTGCAACAAGTAACCATGCAATACGAGCAGTCACAGAGCACAATTGTTTGTTTAAAGGGCTACTTCACAGGGCAAGTGTAACACCTGAAATCAAATGATAGATGATCAGTTCTGAGAATAGTAAAGCCTGCTTGAAACCCTTCCAAACCAAACCTTTTTGTAGGGTTTTTAAAGGTTATCTTGGACCCCCTTGACGATACCTACAATTGCTACCATAATTTAGCAAGGTTTGATTACTGATCAAGGAAATTTAGCACCATCCTCATTGGTTCCATTTACACTAAACAATTTGATATTTATATCAGTGACTTTATCTAAGAGATAAATAAAAACAGCATGTTGTTAAAAAAATATCTAAAAACAGTATAAACTTCTTAAACTCAATAATAATTCATCTTGTTTGGAGTGCAAAGAAGTTGTTAAACACTCGAGACAGTGTTATATCATTTATCTGAACACCTTAACTTTCATCAAAAATACTCTGTTCCAGGTTGTATTGTGTAGTTCCATAAATTATCCTTACCTATCCCACAAAAGAGATTTTTCATAAGACCCCCACCCCCCTGGAAATTCCAATTGAGCTTCATCGATATTTTAAGAGGTTTTGATATCTGAGACCCCACCACCATCAGGAATTTCCCACCCCTTCTGTGGGGGCAGTTTGGACATTTTCTGGAACTACACATTTAAAGTATGACTTCGTTAGCAATTTTTTCTGCAATATTTTCCACAGGGTGAGTAAGGAGGGTGGAGGGGGGTTCAGAGACAGAGATGGAAGGGTGGTGTTTTAACTTTAAATTTCTACTTATACACCCAGTATAAAAAAATAAATAAAATAAGTCAGGAAAAATAACCTAGGTTGGAAAAATAACCTACAGCTAATTTTGACCTGTAACACATATATACCCATCTTTGGCTTTTCTATCTGCCTTTGACCATGGTATCCTCACCTCAATTCGCCTTGGCAATGTAATGGGATCACCTGAAAATAAGATTGTAGTGTCGTCATTCAGACATAGAGAGACTATTCCTTCTTCATTGCCAAAGGCTAACTGAACTTTACAAGTATTCGCCTTTGTCACGGTATCGCCATCTTGAAAATGACGTAATGCTTTTTGGCATGAAAACGAGGTCACGCGTGGTTCTTGACACACTGAACACTCGAGCGATCATGCGGAACAAAGATCACTGTTGTGTTCCTAAGTGCAATAACAATAGATCAAAAGTGCAGTCTAATATAACCTTTCATCAATTCCCGAAAGACAAAGACTTAAGAAGACAGTGGATTATAAAAATTAAGCGTGATGTCGGCCGGTCCTTCAAGGTAAATGGCCTTTTATATATCATAGTTCAGTTTAGCGTCGTTTCAGCGTTGTTTATATAGCAAACCTTATATTTTTTCCGATATCTTTCAGATAACCAACAGTACAAGAGTTTGCTCTGATCATTTTAAACCCACAGATATAAAAAAAACGCTAACAGGAAAAAGTGTACTCGTTAATGGTGCTGTACCATCCGTTTTTGAATGGACAACTTTATCAAAGAAACGAAAGTCACCAACGAAACGCGAATGCACAACACGTACTAACACAACCGAGATTGATGTCGTGGATAATATACAGCCAATCTCCTCTACAGGTATTTATTTTTTATGAAATCGTACTTTAGGCCCGCCCTAAATATTTCTAAACATGTTATTTTCTACATTCCCACAGTCGAAATTGGGCCCATCGAAGATTCAAGCGTAGACGAAAATGTCATCGATACTAGCAGCCACATGGAGGACTCCACCGTAACTACTGACACCACAATCATAACACCTACTGTCAACCTACATGATTATTTATTTACTGAACCCGAAAAGCCTGTAGTTGACATTGAGTGAGGGTACACTACGTATTAGGTCCAACCTAGGTAAGAACTATGCCATCTGTTAACATGTGATGTGGAAGGGTGAATAGTAGGGTGGCCCTATCCCCTAGGGGCACCCTTTTCGTATGTACATGGCATATTGGTTAGGCATTAAAATAAACAGTAAAATCAGTAAAAATTATATTGTTAGTACTATTTTTGTTTTACAGATTCAATGCAAGCTTTCAAACTAGCTTTTTGGAAAAAAAAATTATGAATTTAATAACTTTACATTTATTCACAAATTTCATTATTGCCAAATATTATAAAATGCCCTTTTGGGGTTTAAATACAAAACCTGTTGAAGTCATTCATGTATTTTTATTTATCATGTTTGTACAGAATGTTCTGTTTAATAACAGTAAAAAACTATTAAATGGCTTGAAATACACCCAACTTAGTCACAGTATTTGAATGCATGATAAACAATGAAATATGTACAGCTGTTTGTAAAAATTATGGCGCTTACAATATATTACAGACATATAGGCTTAAATGAAACTGAATTATCATAAGTATTGTATTTTTGGAAAAAAAATACAAAAACTATTAAATTACCAATCATGAACCCAATGTTTTTAAAGTTGTGGCAATAATTTCTGCAAACAGCTGTGTAATGATAATTACTAGAACAAGTTCTGAGTCTAATTAGGTTTGACTTGTTACATTTTAACATTTTAAGAATGCTGATTCAAATGTCTTTACTCCACTTCCCACCAAACTTTGTCACACACAATTAGCTTGTTACTTAGGCACGAAGTTATTTTGTATAAGAGACATACAATAAATTATTGAACACATGTATTCAGGTGATAATCAAAAAAAAAAATAAATTCAGTTTGTCCAGCATTTCAGAAAAGAGAAGTTCATCAAAATATACTCGTTCACAGTGAAATTCGTCCTTGCAGTAAACAAAGAAATCGCACCACTGACTTCCTGTTAAACCAAGGCATCCCATAACTTGATAATAATACTTGTGTGTCTTCTTCAATGAATATGACCCATTTCGTTCATTAAACTTTAAATACTGAAGGTTATCCAGATGACTTGCTGGAGAGCACTTTATTTCTATCAGGCCCCATGGATGTTGTTCAGTGTCGTCAAACACTCTTCTGTCTGGGCTACAGCCTAGGTGTGGGAGACATGGGTTTATAAGAAAACCTACTAGGTGAGTGTCTCTGCCAAACTGTGTTTTGTACATATCAGCAGCTACCCCCTCATTTTGTATCCCATATTTCATGGCTGCAGTTTGGATTACTTTTCCCTTTAGTAAACGCGTAGAAAGGATTTCATGGTCTTTTCTTCTTGAGCATATATCTTTGAAATTTGAAGCTGTAAGCCTAAACTTCCTTAGTTCATGCCATGCTGTTGTAGTTGACTGTTCCCTTGTCTCCATTTCAAAGTCAATAGACTGTTGACCTGATATTGCAAGGGAGCTGAAGAAAAGGTCTTGTTTTTCATTGAGCACTGTATCTGGATAGCTTAAAGATGGAAAGTTGAATGCAGGTAGCTGTATGTTAATATTGCTCTTAACTTTCAATGGCTGTTGATAGCTTATGACACAGCCTTTTGGCACCTTTCCAAAGGCCGAGTCTACTAAAATTGGAGGCTCACTTTGTTCATCTTCCCATATTCTCATAAATCCAGGTTGATTGTTGAGATTTTCAAACTGTGGCGACAGCACACTAGTCAAGTCAAGGCTACTTAATGATTGCTGGAAGGGTTTGTAGATCGTGCTTGCCACACCACACACCTTTCTCTTCTTTTTTTAGGTTCATGCAATTTATCTTTTGGCTTTGACTTTTGTATAATCAAATCTGTCACTGGCCTTGCTTTAATGCCCTCTTTACGACTGGGGATATGCCATCTCTGCAAAAAAATAATATACAAATATACTATATGAATTCAAAATTGCTTATTGTGTTATGTTTAAAAACAGCAGTGTGATTAAAAGGAGTTTTTAAGGAAAAATATTGGTAAGATACAGTCAAATCTCTATACATTAATGACTGTTTTTTCTTATTGTTTATCATCAAATCTATTATTATTATTATTAAATTTTACCTGTGCCTTTGATGTTTTAGAAACCATTGGCGGGACACTTTTTAAGCCTAATAGCTGGAAATGGGCAAGAGTATAGAGCAATCCAAGAACATGATGGCAAAGACCTTGTCCAGCAGCACAACTACACATATACTTGTTGATGCTAGCCTCAATAGAGGAGCTCTCGAACACAACAGACAACTTGTGAGGATCTTCGTTCTTTTTCATACTTCTGAAGCATTTAGCCCGAGCCACTACTCCTGAATCCTCTTCCTTGCAAAGTTTTACTGTTAAAAACCGAGAAAAAAAGAGTTAAAACTCAAAACACTGAGCACAGAAACAAAATATTGGAAAGACAGTCAAACAAAGAAAGCTACCACGAGGTCAACGAGGCTCACCTTCAATATCGTGAATATATTCTTCGTGAAAGAATTTATATCCTCTTGTTACAGTGGCTTTGATCGGTAGGTTCTTCTCAGCAAAATCCTCAACAAAAGAGTTTGTAACTTTGGGTATTTTTGTTATATTTTTGTGCCAAAATTCGAGTTCAACGCTATCGCTACTAGTCGCCATTTTGTTTGTGAACTTACCACGCGTGGCCTCGACCTCATGTACAATATTCAATGACGTAATCCAAGATGGCGGGCCGTGACAAAGGCGAATAAGTATACAAGTATAAGAGTTTACTGACTTATAGTAATTTTACAGCATGCAGGTATTTCCAGTACAGTAGGATTGCTGCGAGTAGTACATTTACTGAATTAAGTACAAAGAGCTCACCTTAGAACCCATACTAAGGTTGTTGTTAATAATTAAGATAGGTACATGTATAATCAATACACTACAAAGATAAAATGTTAATAGTAATTAATAACATTAATAAAAAAAGTGACAATTCAAAAGCAGAAATTTATAAAAACAGATTTGTAGTAGTAATAACTTGCCCAGCCCTTTCAGATATCAAGTCAGGAGTAAAAAATAAACGCGATTGAAAAATGTGGTACATCTAATAGAGCCATAAATTGCATTAACGCAACATATGGTATGAAAAGTAAAGGCTATAGTCCATACTTTTAAAACCACAATTTGCAATAACGCAAACCCCGGTTAAAGAACAGTACTAAGACATTTTAACGTGATCGCAAAATGTGGTAAAAGAACAGTAAGAAATAAATGCAGTTGAAATACAGTAAATTATGAAATTGGCGTTTAGAAATAAAATGTGATAAATGTTACGTATGCTGCAATGTTGTGCAAGACAAGCTATACGCTAATAATCGGCAGGTAACCTCAAGTTCTTCAGCTTGAGATGAAGAGGTTTCTCCCCTCTCAGGAACAGTGCAAAAGAAAACATAAACCCTATGAAAGGAAACAATTTTGTATCATATAGATAGGCATTGTACTGGTGAATGACGTAGCATTAGTGATTAGAACTACTAACCCATTTTCTCCTGAAACAAAAAACAGAGCTCATGGGCTTCCTTAAAATTTTTGTCTGACCCCTCCCCTACTAACCAGTTCTGCTCCCTCCTCTAATTTTATTATTTATTTCTGATAACCTCAATTGTATTGAGGCAGTATGCACACATGCGCAACAGCTGCTGAAGGGTAAATGGTGGTGCCTTCTTGGGCTCATGAGGCACCCTCCCATGCCGAGTGTCCTTGGCAGTGGGTCTTGTGGCCCTCTTCACAAGCTGCTTTATCATTTGAGTAACATCTACAACACAAAGAAAAAATTATTATATTATTATTATTATTATTTTAAACCAGCAGGTCTCTTTTACAGATCATTCCACAGGTCACTGTGCTATTAATATATAAACATAATAAATAAATTCACGTAGCCCTAAACAACTATTCAATAACTAAACTAGGGTTAGAACACTATATCAGTAGCACACTGATCTGTGCTTGTGACCTATGGAATGTGAACTGCAAATTAAAGTAACTTGCCTTTTAAAAACCCTCTAATCCCTGAGGGTAACCAGCATCAAATTCTCCTCAAAATATTTTTAAAAAATGGTTTCTATACAGAAACTGTTCAACAATAGTCAAGTGTTTGTGTCAAGGAACTATCTCCTGATAGTTACCCCCCGGAAATTTGATGTTCTTAAAACAAATATTAGCCCAAGAAGCAAAGCTGGGAGGGGTAATATGTTAGTTTTAAGAACATCAAATTTCCAAGAGGCATCTATGAGACTGATAGTTTCCAGAAAGAAACACTATTTGACTATCGTTTTCATTGTTCACCACTAAATTTTCTTCTGTTCTTCTTCTTCTTCTTAGAAAGTCACAATGTTCCTTGGTGATATCCATATCTCTTAAGTCCTTTGGTAGACAAAGTCAAGGTATTACAAAGAGTATCATTGGCTAATTTCAGTTGTTTTTAAATATTTTTCTCATTGAGTGATGCCAAGTCAAACAAAGATCTACAAATAGTTAGACACCACAGTGATGTTTCCTTGCTGCTTTATCATGTAGGCTTTGGAAATGAACAGCTGTCATTAACCAACAAGTCAAAGGCCATCCAGTGCATCCTACACTATCAGGTCTTTGGGTCCAGGCATTATGCCATTACTGATCTGAAGAAGGGTCTGGATACTGCCAACCTCATAGATTTACTAACTACAAATAGTGAATGCTTGCAATAAATTTTTCCAGGTAGTCACAAGGTTCAATATGGTGCAAATGACATCATAGCACTCATTGACAGAGACAGCCTCAAAAACATCTCAGACAAACAGAGAGAGGTCTTTGAGTGCTATACCTATTACGTGTGAGTTTTAGAGAATTGTGGGTTGTCCCAAGTTTCTTTTTCAGTTTATCTTTAGTGTTAATAAAAAAATTAAAAATTAGGAATAGGATGCTATATATAGCAGTTGGGATTGGATAGAGGGGTGCCCCACCCCTTGAAAAAAATTTGTCAAGCTCCCCTAATACCATAAGAGCAAAAATATATATGAACAGAAAATTATTATCTTAACTCAAGTTGTAAGAAGCCCACCCTCTTCTCGTTGCTCTTGTCACAACCGCCAGCCTCCCACCTGCTTAGGCAAATAATTTCCCCTTTGCTGAAGTATTTACAAGGAAAAATGCCCCTGTCTTCAAACATATCATACAGATGGGGTAACCATATTAGCTGTTGGAGGGCCATGGTACACGAAATCAACTACTTGCTACTACTACTTGCAAGAAGTTGCTGATCTCATGATCCCCATAATCTTCAGGAGGATCAACCAAATCTCTCAAATGAGATGTTTGCTCATCAATTAAAAAAAAAATCAAGTTGGGGCACCTGCACATTGTTGTCACTGTTAATTTAAAGTTTGTCATTATCATAACTCCACACTTAGGGTTCCCTTGATCAGCACTGCAGAATAATCACAGTTGTGAACATCAAGAATTCCATTAATGTACAGCTGGCATGGTGAGAGGCCACCTGTTGTCCTTATACTGTGATTATTCCACTGAGCAAGAAACTCTTCTAAGGCAGCATTAATTCTAGGCAGATAAACAAAGTGCAATCAAGCCATTGCATTTCATTGTCACATAGAAGTAAACCTTCAGATTCCATGTAAAAGAGCAAGTTTTGAAAGCTTCTTAATAGAACATGAGGCACAGTCTCAATTCTCTGATTATGTACAGATAATTTAGTGAGCATCCTCCCATTTTCACGGTTATAAGCCCTTAGCATGTATCTTGCTACATGAACATTTTCAACTCCATGGTCTGAGCACACCCTCGAAGGCAGACCAAATTCTTTTACTGCTCCTTAGAAAAGTTGTAACACTGTCTGCTCTATTATTATCTGCAAGCTCAGGTACACCTCGATATGGCTATAACTATCAATTCCTCCATGGAGAACAAATCACCAATTTATCAGGTTGTGGTTCCCATTGATGAGCCTGAAATGAGAAGAAAAGCAATAAATCTGTTTCTGTGGCAACCAGAAAAAGTTGCCTTAGGTGTTTTGGGAGTCTTCCCATATTGGGCTTAATGTTGATCATTGATTTTCTAAGATCTTAGGCTTTTATGACAAATGGTTATGACTGCCGTTTCTCATGCCATGTACTCCTCATTACATGTCATTCATATAAAGAATGTTTCTCATGTAGCTGGAGCTGCCTGTGGGAGAAATGAAGTAAATCCTGCATTTTAATTTGCTGACCATGCTCTGTAGCCATTTCTGCAAGGTAACGGTGTTATAAAAATTTCACCAAAGGAAACTGGAAATATTAGATAATCAAGGTCAAGTTTTGCAAAATATTTTTTGGGAATGCTATGTTGCCATAGCTACGGTTTCTGCCAAATGTTTGACAAATCATAAATAGGTAATCATTTGTATCTTGATACCCTAAAGAGGTGAATCTCATGAACCAAAACTGATCCCCTTCCCAAGATCCACCAATGCAAAATTGCTAAAAAAGAAAGTTAGGCTCTATTTTGTGACTCATGTCAGTAAGGAACATTCTTATGTTGATACACATGGGAGCCACCTAAACAATACAGGTTACACTTAGGTAAGAAAATGAGCTCCCTCCCCCAGTCTCCCTGGTCCATACTGACACACAATAAAAACTGGAGACTGAGGCATGCATACATATACATACATACTTTATTAACGTCACTGACACTTAGCTGCATAAAGCTAGTTTACAGGTAATTCATGAAAGAAAAGATGAATAAATGAACCTAGAGGTTACACAGAAGTGTTTAAAATCATGTAGTATGGAACTGCATAAAATTATAGAACTATTAAACTTATAAAAACTAGGTTAAATTGCGAATAAGGTTTATAAACTTACAACTATGTAAAAGTGCTTAAAATGATATAGGATATGGTGCTACATAAAACAAAAAAAAAATTAAGTTAAATTGCAAATAAGGGACTATAAACTTGCGAGGTCATGCTCCTTGAGTCGACATTTAAAACTGCGGTAGCCAACAGTATTTCTTAAATTATGAGGAATAGTGTTCCATAGTCAGGCAGCCTGGTATCTCCATGAGTTGATCTTGTACTTTATAGAATTTACTTTAGGTAATTTTAAAATAGCATCACCACGTAAATTTTTTAGTTAGATTTATGCGCAGTCAATAACACGGAAATACATGTAGATGCATTTCCATTCCCAATTACTTCAAACACTGTATTTAACATTTTTGCACGTCTTTGATTTGCTTAAGTGCTATATCCATTTTTAACAACTAGTGTCTCATAAGTAGAGATTTGTCCTGAAAAATGAAGTAGAGTGCCCACTCGTTCAGTTTTTCAAGTTTTTCTGTTGAGTGATTACTACAAAAATGCCAAGACATGGCACAGTAATTGGAATGTGGAGCAATAAATGCTTTATAAAGCTTTTCTCACAGCTTTAACAAAAGCAACTTCTTCAGCCTTTCCAAAACAGTGATTTGCTGGCTTACTTTGCAGCATACAACATATTTTCTTAATTTGACTTTCAAACTTCAATTTATTATTGATTGTTACACCCAGAAGCTCTGCCTCCTCTACCAGAGGGATGCTTGTGCCTTCACACTTGAAAGGAGGGTCTTGTGACATCTCTCCCATCATCATAGCTTTATACTAATCGTGATTCCTTGTCATTTTATTTTCCTCATACCATTTATCAATTTTACCTAGGTCCGAAGTAATGGCTTGTTCTACATCTGTCACATTGTCTCCAGCATAGAAGATTTGTGTATCATCTGCAAAAGTGGACAGTATAGTAAAATCAATGACGCAAGGAAGATCGTTCATAAATATGTTGAACAATAGAGGCCCCAGGATTGATCCCTGGGGAATTCATCTCAATGGGTAACCAAGGTGAAAACGTGCCTGCAAGTTTTACACATTGCTTGCAGTCTCCCAAATAATCCTTAATTAAACTGACAGTGTTGTCGTCTGCATTGTGTTGAGCCAGTTTCTGGATAGTTAGACTGCATGTCAAATGCTTTTGATAAGTCCATAGACACTAGCCCAACAATTTTTTGGTTATCCAATTCTTTCCTCCACTGCTCCGTTAAACTTAGGAGGGCAGTATCACAGCAGTGCCCCTTTCTATAAACCAAAACTAGCTTGTGGTAAAAATCCTCAATGTATAGGCTTGCTCTGTTACGAATTAGTCTTTACGGCCCCCTCGAGCACACTGCTCCCATAATCATAACCTCACCAGCATCAGGAGTTCTCTGCAAAATATTTGACACAAATTCATCTAGGCAGCATCCATGATAGTTGATGGCGTGGTTTCTATGCTGAACATCTTCGTAGCGCATGTCAGCCTTGTTTCAAAGATTTTCCGGAAAAGCTGACAAATCGATAATTAGAACCTATATGTTTTAGGTTGTATTTCAAGTGACATAAATATGTAGCCTGACTGCAAACCTATATTTACCTCACTACAAACCACATGTATGCAATTTTCACCCATTTATTATAAAGTAAAGTTATTTAATGAAACAACCTATAATTTGAAAGTCTTCTGGGTCATCTGCGTGTGCCTAGCCATTTTATAGGAGGGCATCATCCTGACAAAATAATTACCTATAGCAAAGGAAATGCCATAAGGATGGTCTGTAAAAGAGTTCAATACCCCATCCTCAGACAGACCACCTAACTAAATATATAGTTTTCAAACATAATATAGTACATTAAAATCTGAAGTGTTTGTACGGGCATAATTTAAGGTAAGTCCATCTTTCTCACTTAAAGGGTACCTAGCAGTATGAGGGTACAACAGAAGAGATGATAATGTCAACATAACCATTCAAAACTTTATCGAAAAGAAATCATCTATGTTCCATGGACAGCAAATTAACCTTAGAGTTGCAAGTATCATAGTCATCATCACATTTTAGAATAAACTTCATAGCTCAATGTTGCACTCTTTCCAAGATCAAAATATTTCTGGCAGTGAAGGGTGACCATTAAATTTAAGTTGAGGCCTAACCAGAGTGCAATAACGAGTTCTAAGCATAGAAATATCTCTTAAATCTCTGCAATTTCTTTGCAATCTTGTCTATGTGAGCGTTTCAGGACAATTTATAGTCAGTTAGTAATTCTCGATCAGAGAACTCGGTAGTACCTTCAAGGAGAGTACCATCCGGTAGTAGAGGAGCAGAGATTGGAGATCATTTAAAAGTGATCTGTAATAACTTACATTTCTTTGTACTAAAGCTCCTTTGATTTTTTTGAGCCCAGGAGGCCAGATTATTGAGATCTTCCTGAAATGATTCATGATCGTATGGACATTGGATAACTCTTGAGGTTTCAACAGTCATCTGCATACAGTGCCACCATACTCCCAGAGGAAATAGCATCAGGCAGATCATTCATAAATATCACAAAAGACAGGGGGCCCAAGTTGGACCACTTGATCGTTCATCTGCACTAAGGGATTTAAGTTTGAGGGCATCATGTTCCTGACTATACTTTGTACACCAAACATTGTCTGCATCCTAGAAGATGTCAGTTGTGCCACTAGCAGTAGCTTTGTCAAGATCATGGCCAATCTTCTTTATTCCTAACAATTCTGGTTTGGCAATGGTGAGTTCACCAGCAAGTTTTTTATAACTCTCTCAACTCTTCTTGAAATGTCAAGGAATGCTAAGGAAATGAACTAAACTACAAATCTGACGACAGAGAACACTGCTAACGATTGTGACTTATGTCTGATCTTGGCTCCAGTGATGAGAAAACTCCAAGTCGTAAAAAAAAAACTCTAAAAGACTCCTTTAAGACTCCTCTTTGCTCCAGGGACAACTCCTTAAGACTAAAATGTTCGCGTGAAAAAGGCCTAATATACTTCTATGACATAAAGGAAGCTAAACTGAATTACTCTTTGTGCAGCTAGCTAAAAAGGATGTTTCATAGTTGCACAATCAAAACGAAACAAGGCTACATTTTAAGAAAGCAAAAAGTCATATAACGTTTTAAAGCGTTCTTTGTACAGCAACGTAATAATAATAATAATAATAATAATAATAATAATAATAAACTTTATTTACGTGTCAAATAAGATAGCAGTTTCCCACTAAGTAAGACACCTAAACTAAACTAATCTAATCTATATAAAACTATGCATTAAAAATTTATTGGAATATGATAAAAGAGCTCTTCCCATATAAAACCACCCTACCCCGAAATAGTAGACCCCATGTTTATAACACCCTACCCTGTATAATAAGATAATAACCTTAATATAATGAGATAATAAGATAATAATAATTACAATAATATGATCTTGATAATATTTAAAATATTTAAGATTTACATAAAATACAGTTCTTGCAATTATTCGAAGGGATTAAACTCTGTATATCTATAAAGCGTTTTTAAATTCTTGCAGCGTTCTTAGTGCTCTTATTTTTCCATCTAACTTAGACCAGATTACTGGACCTAAGTACCTAAGAGAGTGCTTACCATAGCGCGTAGTACTAACTCTAGGGATAATGAAATCATTGTTTCTTAAATCATATTTGTTGTTATTAATAACAAACAGGTTCTTGATATTATTAGGGCACAGATCATTTTTAACTTGAAACATTAACACAGCTATGTCACGTGACACATGGAAATCAAAATTTATGTACAGCTGGAAGACTGTAGGAAGACTTGGAAGACTTGGCAAGTTTCAACAACAAAGATTTTATCATATTGCAGTTAAGTAAAATTTGATCATGATCTGAACATGTTGGCAGAGCTTGAATTGTGGAGGGGCTTGTCACGTGGCTTGTGTAGTTACTTTGCTCAACTCGTTCTTGAACTGTATCAAGACCTGGATTGTTTACCATTTACCATAAAATACAGCAATTTCCCATAGGAATGACACAGGTTTTTGGGAGGTCTCCAATTCCCCTTCGTAAACAAGTTTTGACGTTCCTGTGGTTTTTAGTGAACTTAGAGGTGATCTGTTCAGAGTCTGACAGGTTTAACATAGCTCTAAGTCGTTTACACAGGATCACTGCTTGTGCAGAGCCTTAGTTGAGTTGACATTCCATTGTTTCCCAGGTTAGAATCATATTTTTCTGGTTAAATAAAAAAGATATATTGTTTGGGCTATTGCAATTTAAATTGTACTAAAATACTGGAAGTTACTGTAGTCTTCGAAAATGAATAAAACACATTTTCATTTAACAAAACAGGTTATTAATTAAGGCATATTTACCTGATTCAAAACAGATTATGTGTAATGACAGTATGGTTTTCAGAGACATTGTAGCAGGCTGGCCATGCTCAGTTCATGACTCAAGGGTCCTCAGAAATTCCTCCTGGTTTGTCGCTGCTGCAGCCAAGTTCTCTGGGGACACACATATTCTTGGCAATGGTGGATACCCATTGAAAAGGTTTAGATGTAGTCCCTCATAGAGTATCGCATGGCTTGTATTCTTGTATTTTGTTATGTATTTCAAGATGGGTTCTAACAGCCTGCCAGCAAACGTGCAGCACCAAGATATTAACATGCATCAATAACTAGCATTTATACTGATTTAATTTGCTTTTCCTCCAGTGATTTATTTCTGAAAATACCTGGTGTTACCTAATCACATGGTGTTATCAATTGAAACGACATCCAATAAACTTTAACCGTTAGGCTATTATTGACGTATAAATGCAACTACAATCTATACGAATTGCTAGTTTTGTTTGATTCGTGGAATGATTGAGACAAAATGAGGCACAACCTGGTATAAAGCAACAGCTGAGGTTAAAAAAATGATTAAGTTTACCTCCACTTGTGCCTTCGTCAAACCAGTGTCTGTTGACACTTTTAAAACTATCTCCTTATACATGGATCCATTCCAACCATCCCTCCTTCGAAAAACACGCTCTAAAATCTCTCACTGGTTATCTGAGATGTGAGTACGTTTGCCATTGTACTTCCTCACAAAGAACAACCACTATCTCACTGAAAGCTTACCAGACAGCACATTGTGGAATTTGTTATTAGCGGGCAAACGTGGATTATTCCATAAAGCAATTTCATTGGCTGTTCTAGACAATGCTTCAAATCAGCAGCATCAGACAGCTCAGATGACTCAAATGATCATTTCACTTGGGTATTACCCACATTCTCAATTGAGAAATACTGGGTGTTACCCCATGAGAAAATGTGACATGGGTGTAGAGTATTCAACAAGTCTCCTGAAGGGACGATGGAGGAAACTCTTGACTCTGGTTCACCTTATAATGTCTGCATGTGTTCTGCACAACTTTTGTCTACTCAATGATGACCTAGATGACAGCTACTTCTTAGATCATCATGATGGTGGTTATGGAGATGGCGACAGTGAGCCAGTTGTAGTGCACCTAAATGGTGGTGCATTAGCTGCTCAGGCTAAGCATGTGCAACTAATGAATGCATTTTTCTAATTTAGAAAATGTTTGTGAATGTTGGAAGTACTGGTATTTATGTGGTAGTGGGATTTTCATGTTTGAAGAAAGAGAAACTCGATTAAATTTATATTTGTTTTGGTTTATTTTATTGACAGCCTTATTTTTAATTTACTCTCTTGCTTTTAACCACTAACAATGGTACATTTCTGGGCAAATACAATCAATCTGATATGGTCCCTGTCAGTGACAAATTGGTGTGAGATTCTGCAGATATTATACTTTTCTTTAAAATAATATAAAATGCCCCAAAACATATCACTTCTCACAGACAACAAGTGATAAACATCTTAGATATTTCACATTGGTGGTGCTAAGGGTGAGCAGCCACAGAATATATCACTGAAAGACAAATATGAAACACAGAAACAAAAAGTGGACAAGCTTTGATGCATCCATCTCGAACAACACACTGAACAAAAGTCAATTTCTTGAAATACATATCCTGTGTTTTGGCCTTTAAGGTGTCAATAACTAGTTTCTTTGTTCACTTGTTGCCCATATATTCTAAGAAAAGATTAAAGCAGGAATTTTTTCTTCTTTCATCTCTTAAAATCTAGAGCTTTTCTTCCTCCAATTTTTCTTGCCTTTTACTGCAGGATTTTAGAAATTTTAGTATTTCTACGGCAGGAGATTAATTCTTTGGCATCTTATGGGATCTTCCTTTGCCTTGTTCCTATTTTGGATGAATCGCTGTAGGTTTGGTCTGTGAAGGACTCTGATGATGATCCATCATCTGACAACTTGCAGCCTTCCCCATTTTCTGAATTCTGGTCCTTTGACTGCTCTCCAGCATACAGGTGGGACTCACAGTTGGGTTCTTTGCACGGCAACTGGAGAGTTCATTGTAGAACTTCCAAGTCTTCTTGTCATTTCCACTCTTGTTATTGTGATCCTCTATTCTCTTTTGTTTTGATGTTATCTTTCCTTGCTTTCTCATGCAATGTTTTCCAGTGAACGCATGACCAGATATCTTGGTGAACTGTTCAGCTATTTTCTTGAACACATTTTTTTTTTGTTGCCTTTCCACCAAACATGTGCTTGTTATCTGGATATGTTATTATGAAAAGTCTTTCATCAGTATCTTCCATTGCTCCAAAATTTTCAATGACCCTGCATCATTGAGGTTGGTTACACATGCCAAGGCCTAGCTGAAATGGAAGAAATGGTAGCTGAAAACAAAGAGTTTCAAAAATTATTGCAAATTTATAGAGACACCTTGGAGAGCTATGCAACATAATTTTTATGCCAGATACACTTACTCTCAAAGAGCTCTAGGTAAGCTGCAAATTCCACCTACCATTCAAATGAGCCACAATCATAGTGGAGTAAGTTTTGGAATCCTAAGCTTGAAAGTGGCACACTGAACACTCGTACACTTGAGTGCATGCCGTTTTAACTGATGCAAAAAAAATCAGAGGAGTCTGGCAGCAAGAAGGACTGTGAAAGGCTTGTAACTGGTGAGAAGGGTGGAAGATCAGTACATGGAACACAAAATTTCCATTGGGAAAATTTTTAGCAGAAAAATGGGATCACCTTCTAATAGATTCTTTTTCTCCCAGGGATTTTCCACCAGAGCGAACTAAAGTCATGTTCCATTAACAAACAAAGCAAAATTTCCGGAATTATTTTTAAAATGGTAAACAACCCAGTAGTTGGATGAGTAAAACAACTATGGATTGATTGTTTGATTGGATTCAACCAACCGGTGGCTCAGTTGGTAAAACACTCTGCTGAACACCTGGTTGGTCTTCTCACAGCTATCATCCATAACTGTATTTCGAAGCTATACTTCCCACACACCTGGAAACTAGTGTGTATAAGCCCCATCTCAAAAGTTGACACCCAAGTCACAGTAGACCACCTGCATTCAGTGTCCATCCTATCCAGTGCTATCAAAAGCTTGCTGCTTCCCATATGGCTGATTTCTGCGCCAAAAAATCTCTTCTCGGAGACACCATCTCGAGCTTCTGTAAGGGATATTCAACTTCAACAGTTCTCTTGGGCATAAGGGACGACTTGTTGAGCACCATGTAAAGGAGAGAGGTAACTCTGTTGGTGCTAGCAGACTTTTCAAAAGCATTTGACACTGTTTGCATTAAAATGGTGATAACCAAGCTGCACCACCTCATTTTTTCAAAGAGAGTTATTGAATGGTCAGGTAGTTACCTATGCAGCAGGATACATTATGTTCAGATTGATGATCCCTAGTCATCACCTGCACTATCTTAGTTTGGAATCCCACTATTTCATTTCTGTTGCAGTTGATTAAAATTTTTATTTACCCATAATCCCCTGTAGGTATGGTCTTTTTTGCAAATAGTCAGTTTCTAGTTCACTGACACAATATAAGGTATAAGTAGTAACATTTTGTACGGCATGAAGGCTACTGCCTCATCGTTGAGATCAACTGGCACTCTAAACACTGACTTTCTGCCTCTTTTTACAACTTGAAGATCATAACAGATATGCTATACAATTGCTGTATGAACAATCCTCAAGTCTGTAGGTCATATCAATAAAATTATCTCTGAGGAAGAAGTTCTATTAAGCACTTCCTGCGCTGTGGTGTAGACACTTTCATAGTCATCTGTGATATCTTCAGAGAGCTCTAGCACTGTGTCACTTATCACCTTCAGCAGACAGTAGTCATAGCTTGAATCAGCATCTGCTGCTACTGCTGCTACACTCCCCTCTCCTGCAAGGTCAGCTATTTTGACAGCTGTGTCTGTTGTTACTTCAGCATTCTCTTCTACATTTCTGTTAATGGCTGTTGATCCTCCTCTTTTAGTGTTAAGCTCTTTCCCAGTCATCCACTCACTTACTAGCAATGTTTTTGCAAACATTGCTAGTTTCCATTAAGCAGTTGATACAGTGACAGGATCTGTCTTTAAAAACCTTCCCTTGTTCTGTGATGTATTTCACCACATGGATCTTCGCAATGCCTTTTATTTTAAATTTTCAAGTGGGCCTATTTCTGTTCACTTAATGTTCACCTGTGACAGGGACATCGAAAAGAGGCACTGCTTGAAATTTACAGATTTTGTCCTGGAAAAGTAGCTTGAAGTAGCAGGCAAAGTGAAATTTTCATTAAGAAATGAGTACATGTCTTTGGCACTTTTTATTCTGGCTGTTCAATGAAGCATTGCCTATCTAAACTTTTGCTTCATGAGTGACCCAGTTGTATCCTGTTCTCCTTTTGCATGAGGCATTTTGAAGAAGTTGCACTTTTTTTGTAGCCAAAATCTGTAACACAAGAGGACAAATCTCCAGGGCAGTGGCGGGATTTATACTGCACTGAGCATCCATTCGTAAGTTCATGCATCATTGTTACTTGTTGACTAAGATCCTTTGTCAGATAACTTTTCAAAAGTTCTTGCACTTCGTGAACGGAACTGTTGTTGTGGATGACATCATCTGAGATTACAAATACATGATTCTTCACATTCTCCGGAGTTATGGTATAATCAAACCAACAGAAAAATGAAATGTTCCTAACAAGGAGTGAATCCTTAAAGCAGTGCAATACTTATCATTAATAAACTTAATTAAGCCTGCCAAAGTCTATGTTCTAGCTCACCACTGACACAATCTCACTGCTGTCTCCAAAGTCCCTTGAAAAGAGCAATCTTCTGTGGGAACTCTCTCTCAGTATAGCTCCAAAAATAACAACTACAACTACCACTACATAAGTTTACTACCCAAAAGCCTCTTTAACAGTAACAGGGAAAAGGAACACCCTCTTCTTCAAGACAGCTTTGTGGAATTTCATACAGTTGCCAAATATGATCTTCATTTCTACATGTTTTCAAAAAAGGCGGGACTTTCTATCACGTTCTTTGGCAGCTTTTGGTTCACTAACTCATAAAAATTACGAAAAGAAGAATGTGAAGGACCACAGTTGATGTTTGTACATGTACATGAGGGTTGCACTGTAGAAGGAAACGTGAAAGAGAACCCTCCAGAATTCCATATAGAAGAGTCAAACTGTTCAGAAAAACAAAAGTTTTTCAAAATGCAGCTAAATCATACCCTAAAGAAAGCATTCTGAGTTCATCCTCTCATGAGATCGAAAAAAAAGATTTAAGTGTTTAAAAGACAAGATAGTGATTCGTTTTTGCATGGGAAGCCCTCAAACTCGTGCAATAATTTGCTGCTAAAAATGACAATTTTAACGGAATTTTTTTATCCCAAAGACAAGAAGATCAACAAATTCAGTAAATGTAAGTTCTTGTTTCTACAGAGTGCTCCTTTCTTTATGCTTCTTGGACATAAATTAGTTAATGCCGCACAAACAAAAATAATTCTATCCAACATTGGTTCAACATGAGTTCTTAGTGATGCCACATGACAAGTATGTGTTGTCCCTTTAGCTGATAGGCGTGTCCTTGACAGTGGGGTGGTGAGATAAGGTGGACTTTCTTAAATGTTAAGAGATCCTGGATCACAAAACCCTTGTCAGTCATGACTGCATCCCCCTCCTCAAGCAAGTCCAGCAGTCCACTTTGCCTAACAATTTCTTTGTCACTGATGGATCCTATCCATAATGGTGTAATGAAGGATACAACACCAGTGTTTGTAATTACTCCATGTAATCTTTTGGCTTGAAGGAACTTCTGGTTTTTGTATGAAAAGTTCAAGACAATCAATTATTACTATTACATTCTTAAATTTTTTAACCTTTTTGACAGACATTTTTGTAATTCTGATCTTGAAGGCCATGGAACTAGAAAGGACAGCTCTCGAGAAAGAAATGTTATCCATGTATTGTAAATTCTAAATACTTGGGAAGAATTAATGCCAAAAGTGTCAGCTTGGAATTTGACATCAAAAAGTTTTCTTGTTCTCACAAAGGTGAAAACAAGTTGTTCCCATCTTGTCAAGACTCATTTTTTCTCTGTTTTTGTGTATCAGCTACTCGTTTTTTTGATGACTTTTTAGTATTCTTACTGCCCCTCCAGAGACGGCCCTTGGTTCTTAAAATTCAAAATCCAAATCAAGCTTAGACTTAGTTACACCTGTGCAACAGTTTTTAGAACAAGTTGCCTAGTCAATGAAATATTTTTTCTTCTCTTTCACTTGACTTAGACACTCTGTCTGTATAGCTGATTCAACAAAAAGAATAGCTTCATGATCAGTATCTGAAGGGAATGCTGAGGCTACATAATCTAATTCAGTATTTTCTTCTAATAAAGTCGTCCTTAACAAAGGGCTCATTCTTAACTGGAACTTCAGTTTTGTCACTACTTTGCGTTCTCTTCCTGGAGCAACTCTCGTTGATTTGTGTAGATCAGAGCTCTGGGGGAGGTCTTTGCTCTAACAATGGTACCCTTTTATGTACAACGTTGGTGTAGGACATTCAGAAGTTCTGTAACCTTGAGCAAAGTGATTTGAACAGACGTTCGTACCCATTGTTACCTTGAAATGATCATGATTAATAGATCTAGCTCACGAAAAGACATCTTACTCTTGGGGGAGTAGAATCTCAATATTCCAACATGAGTAAGAATAGTTTGCTTTTCTGAGTGCCTTCAATTGTTGTTACAACCCCACATAGCACAGTGATGGACGTGAGGCATATTTCCAATAATATTTGTGTTAACGAGCTTAGAAATGAGCCAGAAGTAGACTGCATACATTTATTTACAACTGAAAACGCTTGAATGGGTTACATACTCGCAATTATTGCTTAATTTCGAGATATTTCATGACCATTACGAGATGTCTATTTCACAATATACCTTGCACAAGGAGAGAACTTTATCGGCAAATTTTAACACATATCTCGTGATTATCTTAACAAAAACTTACACTTCCCACGTGTCAACATTGCTTTCATCCTTTCCTGTTAAAATGGCCGCAAAAAAGCGCTGAATTCTCTTAAAAATTTGTTTTTTTTGGACGCCAAAACAACTTTTTGCCATACATTTCTTTGTAGCAATTTGCATTGTTTGCCCCGTGGCGATCCCAGAACCCTTTGCGCATAGCAGAGGGATCCGATTATTGGCAACTCATTCATTGGATCTGTTTGACATCAAAACAATCTGAAATTCAAACATTAAAAACTTCTTTAACTTCCTAGGTGTAAAAATTAAACAAGTGTGACTACTGTTTTGCTTTTTCTTCAGACTTGTAACGAACAACTTCTAATGTCCAGTGAGTTTTTGCACATTTTCGTAGAATTATTATGTTGAAACTCAGGACAGTTAGCAACTGAAGACATCTTAGCTGATCACTGATCATATTGGCTTGTTCTCAGTACTTGTATGAACCACTAATGAATATTTTAGTCGAAGATGCTTAAATGGACCAACAGGCAGTAGTGCTAGCAGCAATATATCTATACTTTTAGCAACAGTGGCTTCTGAATCATCTCTGCTATTACTTCCACATTGAAGATGCCTCTTTAAGAACTGGTATTTTGCTACAACTAGAGTGATAGATGAAGGAGATGTCAAATATGAGAGGCACATTACCAGACTTGGAACACTGTTAGATATTGAATTAAAAATAGAAAAACATGGGAATCATAATACCCATCAATGGAAAAGTTAACAAAATCGGGAATTGTGAATTCCCAAGAATAGAAAATAAAGTTATAAAAAATCTAAAGTTGTGCATTTTGAATTCCCATGATGCAAAATTAAGGTATAAAAAGCCAAACTTGTAACTGGTGAATTCCTAAGGATGGGAAATTAAGTTTGAAAAAAAAACGCAAACTTGGGAATAGCTACTACCCAACTAAATGGACATTATGAACAGTCTCATTTTCCCAGTCAAAATCAGGTTTGGAATTAGATCGAGTTTTTGTAAAAACCACAACAAATTATGCAAGGTAAATTCTATGTCAAATTATTTTTTCAATTGCTTCTGCAAGAATTGATTTCGTTTTATCATGTCAACTGATCAATACTTTTATAAAATTGTGAAAGTGCTTTTTAGTTGGGATTAGAACAATAAGGTAAGACAGAGTAAAGTTGTCAATGGGAATTTCGAATGGTGCTGTTATTTTTTAGAGTTGGTTGGCTCTGAAGTCATCACATGGTGTAGAGAATAAATGGACCCATATCTCTTATTAGAGGGAAATGTTTATTTCATAGACTTTCTGATGAACTAGAAGCAACGTGTCAAACTTGTGAATGACTGCCACTCAGAATGGTCTTCTGTTCCTGCTGGGGTGCTCATTATAATGGACAATGATCTAAGCGTTCAAGGAGTATCTATGTGGAAATTTGTTGATGACAACACTGTTTTAGAGGGCAAGAGTACGACCAAACAAGTAACATTCAAGCCTCTGTAGACAGTCTTTCCAGACAGTCTCTACTCAATGACTTCCAACTCAACGAAAGTAAATGTGAAGAGACCAGGGTCTATTTTGCAAAGAAGCAGCCTACAAACAACCCTGTAGAATTAAAAGGCAAGCCCCTCGAAGTAGTTTCTAAAATTGTGGGACTGAATACCAGTAATGATCTCAAATGAAATGGACACATCTCTGAATTAGTAAAGAAACCTCTTCCTACCTTTGTTGCTTAAGGCAATGAAAGAGATCGAGAGTTGCTCCAAAAGAGCTCATTTTATTCTGCTGTATTTGTATCCGGTTGCTTCTGGAATATGCTTGTCAATTTTTCCACCGTGCACTACCAGCCTACCTGGACGACGATTTGGAATGTCTACAAAGGCGCACTCTTTGGATTATTTACCCCTACCTTGTCCTATGCTGAAGCCCTCAGGGTGTCAGGATTACCTACACTATTTAAAAGAAGAGAAGAAATCATCTTGAAACTCTTCATCGAGATCTTTACAAATAAGGAACACAAATTGCATTCACTTTTGCCAGAAGTGAACA